CCGAAGACGAGGCCGGGAAGCGGCAAGATGATGACGACGACGACGATGATGATGATGACGACAGCGACGGCGAAGACAAGACCTGGTCCGAACTCGACAGGTCGGCGTCATTAATGGACATGTGGGACGTCCATGGGGAGGAGGTCTACAGTCTACCAGTCGCGAGGATGCACACCCCAGGGGTTTGGGTTGCCGGCCGGCCAGCAGACGCGTCGTCAACGCCTGCCTCCGCCCTGACGACCACGGGCCGAGGCGTCTGGTCGCCGTTTTCCAGCTTGCCGGCCTGTCGGCCGCCGCCGGATCTGCCCCGGCCACTGCTTGTCTGCTTCGGCTCTCTGCTGGCCGGGCTCTTTGTGTTGTTGGGCGCCGGCCTTGGCAACCAGGCCTGTCTGGTGGTCGCCTCCTGCCTCCATCTCCTGTTGGTCGGGCTCGTCGCGCACCACATCGTGCTGTTGCTAGGCGTCGGCCAGGATCAGCGGTCGTCCCGCAACTGGGGCGTCCACTGCTTGGCAACCGCCAGCCTTCTCCTCCTCCTCTGCGGCCTCTTGGCTCTGGCCGGTCTGGCGGCCGGGACACTCATTCTGCTCCACTTGCATCGGCTGCGAACGTCGTCGCCGTCGCCGTCGCCGTCGCCGTTGCCGTCGCCGGCAGGTCGGGACGTTGACAAAGCGGCTCGGCTGCTGCAACCGCGTGGCCAGCGCAGTCTGCCCGACCTGCCGGTACCGACCGGGCAACCCAGCAGCCCCGGACTCAGCCTCGGCGCCAGAGAATCGTCTTCTTTCTTCCCCTCCACCCCAGAACCCACCAGCTACCGGTCTCTGCTGGCCGCCGCGCCCTCGGTCGACTCCGGCAGGATCGCCTCGGGGTAGATCGGCTGGCCTCTGTCCGGTACAGCAGCGACACAAACGCCGGCGCCCATCCGACTCACCCTCAGAATGCTTTATCTTCTACGAAAGGCTGTACCTCATGCATGTCCCTCAGGCCCTATTCCACCCAGAAGTCTGTGCCCTGACACAACTCACCATTCTAGCAACACCCAAAGGAATATAGTTTCGTCTTTCTTGTCTGTACTTATTTCAGCAACTTGAGCCTCGAGTCACCAGCCTCCACGACCTTCCTCGTCGAGACAACAGACAGTGAAAGAGCATGACTCCCAGAGGGCTGAGCTACTCAGACACACACACGCCGAACAAACCGGCATTGTCTTCAAGACGAAAGTCTGCCCATCCGAGAGAATGATGCTCCAAAGGTTACTCGACACCGTCGAGACCAATGAAGAGGCACGGACCGGTCACCACGCCCGACCGATACCATGACAACCTTGCTATCTTGATAACTTCTGGACTGAAGGAAGCTGAACAACTAGCGAATGTACTTAGACACCGTGGGCTGCCAGACGAATAGGATCTAGGCCTCCTAGTTTGCTGTAAGCGTCAAATAACAAAGTGACTTTAAGAAAACAATAACCGATCGGGCTGACTCTTGTTTTGAGTAAACCGTTGATTTCGATTAAAGTAGTATTCGAGACTATGAGTACATCTTGAATAGTAACTTAGTCACCCTAGGTTGATTCAAGTACTTTTAAAAATAAATATAGCTATTTCATTCTGTACGAGAGTGCATGAAGAAGAGATTCGTAGTTCGATCTCACCAGAAGAGGATGGCTAAATTCCGTTGTACTGCAGACGTATGGCTTCTATACGACGCTAAGGTTGACGCGGTCCACGAGACCTCCTCCCTCGTTTCTGGCGAAAACGGCCAGAGGCTTCGTCCATCAAATTATGGACATCATCAGAGCTGGAACTCATTCCTGTAAAAGTCTCAAGAAGACTATCCGGCTCTATCCTACCACTTATATAGACTCAATTAAACAAAGAGGTAAGGTACAGCCGGATAGTCTTTTTGCGCTAGTGTTAACTTGGGACTTTTACAAGAATAAGTTTCAGCTCTGATGATGTCCATCAAATGATGGACGAAGGCTCAGTCTGCTTTCACGTGAAACGAGGGAGGAGGTCTCAAGGACTGCTCCAACCTGAAATTCATATAAAAGCCAAACTGCGTTATTCACCCGTCTTCTTCTGTTGAGATCGACCTACGAATCTCTTCCTCATGCACTTTCATACGAACTGAAAGTCCCCCCACAATGTTATCACAGGAGATTAATCGAAACCCAGTTTATCTTTCTTTCACCTTGTTTACGCAACTTGGTCATGTTGGTAGGAAGACTAAGAGGAACGCACCTTGTCCTGAGTCCATTGTATGCATCATCATTTCCAAAGTCGGACCGTGGACATGGTACCTTACCCAACGTTTCGCCGGCATTGTCAGTGAGCCTTGTCACTCTTAGCACCATACTACAACTCGCCAAGGAGACAAGTGAAGTCGATCCTTCGACCAAATGTGTGCTAAACAGTTGTGGTATCTCTACTTCTGTCCTGGACTATTCATCTTTTCTATATCCTCGTGTTATCCTTTCAATATCACAATTTATTACTTGTTTATCTAAACCTGGTTGAGACCTATTCACACTCCCAACTGGTTCCTACATCTCCCCATTGTGCTAGGAGTGTTGAGCCAAGGCTACAGTTTTGTCGGCAATTCTCTTCCTTCAGATCTCCCTCTTTCTCCGTAGGATACTTTCCCTATCAGCTTGCTTTATTAATTTCACTTCATCGCTGCCACCGTATCAAAGCTACTCAGGGCGCTATATTATACATTATGCACCTAGTTTTTGATAGTACGTATACTCCAGCCTCACTGAGGAAACCCCTAAAGACTGGATTCTCAGTTGGTACGGCAACCTAACTTGACGCTTAAGATTCCCTCATCACTCTGCAGCATGTGCACCGAGTAACTCTCGGGGTCAAGCCATTAATTCATGGACAACGTTTATGATAAAACTTATCTACTAATAGCCAAATATCATTTGTGTCCGTCGCATCTATCGCTCTTATATTCATAATGCCAACCAAATCTACAACTCTTTTATGCCCTAATCTCTTGCGTGCTGATCTCCAAGTGTGATAGTTCTACTTGATTTGAATAGGCTT